TTTAGCCTCTCTTCATATGGGACCTGTTCCAAACCCCTAATCATTTTGGTTGCCCTTTTCTGAACCCTTTCCAAGGCCAAATTATCTTTTTTGCGGTGAGGAGACCACATCTGTACACAGTACTGAAGATATGATGTACCACAGTTTTATACTTCCCTTCCTCCTTCTTCCCCTGGCTTCCCCCTTACAGCTCCCTGCTCCCAGGTTTCCCCCTCCCCTCTCCTACCCTCTCTCTTCCCCTCTCCCACCTCCTTTTCCCAGTCTCCCCCAGTTTTGTTCAATAAAGAGAGTTTCTATTTTTGAACACACATGTCCTTTATTTTGTACATCAGGAAGGGGGGCTAGGGAGGGGTAAGTGGAAGGGGGTGAGGGAGGAATGGGGTACAAGCCCCCGATGGGGAGGACTGGGGTGGCTCTGCGGGCTCCTCGGGGTGGAAGCTCTCCTGCAGCCCCCCGATTCACCTCCCCCGGACGGCAGCCTGCGGCAAGTGCATCCGGGCTGATGGCCGAGTGCTGTAATGTGCCGAGTGTGGGCACTCCGGGCACTCCAAGCCAGGACTGCTTTGCAAGCGGGGAACCCCTGAGAACTGTCTGTCCGGGGTAGGAGTCGGGTCCCTTTAAGCACAGCCCTCGGCTAGCCTGAGACAGCAGCTCCATGCTCTAAGTCCTAACCTGATGCCCTGCCGGCACTGCTTCCGGCCATCCTTAACCTCGGTTCAGGGTCCACTCAGTGTGGACATGCTAGTTCGAATTAGCAAAACACTAATTCGAACTAGTTTTTAAGTCTAGATGTGCTAATTTGAATTAGCTTAGTTCAAATTAACTAATTCAAACTAAAAGTTAGTTCGAATTAGCGCTGTAGTGTAGACATACCCTTAGAGAGTTGGCATATGGAAGCCCTGGTCATGCTAGAAGAGTGTGCTCAGCAGTGCAGCGCTTGTGTGTGTGTGTGTGTGTGGGGGGGGGGGTCATTAACCTGCTCTGGGGCCCTGAATTGCTCTAGGCAGGCCTGTTTATCTGAAGTTGCCTGACAACATGGGAATTGTTCTCAGTCACCGGTTGTGTCCATTAATTCCCTGGTTTCCCTACCATCAAAGTTATTAATTACAGTGGTTTCCATCATGTGGACATTTGCCCATTGGAACCCGGATTGACAGCAAATTCATTTCATATGAATCACCTTGTGTCTACCAGACAGTCACAGATTTGAGTGACCAGTGGCTTGAATAGATTCAAGTCAACAACCTTGATGAGCCTGGCTTTAATTTGTATCCCTTTGCCAGTACACTTAAGGGCATGGCTAGACTGCAGTTAAATAGCCATGGCTGGCCCATGGCCCATGGATTCAGAACTCTGGAGCTTGAGCTAATTGCAGTGCTAACTGAGCACTGTTTAATTGTACTATAGATGCTCAGGCTCAGGCTGCAGGGTGAGGTGGAAGTGTCTCAGAGCTTGTGATGCAGCCTGAGCCCAAACATCCACACCGCAATTAAAACCGACACTTAGCCCAAGCCCCATGAGCCCAAGTCAGCTGGCCCAGGCCAGCCATGGGTGTTTAATTGCAATGCAGACATGCCCTTAGCCATCTCCGACATAGCCTATATTGCTTTAATTAAACATAAACAAATAGCAAAAACAATTGCCTGGTGAACATTGCCTTCGTCTGGTAATTTTTAAATTACAGCTTTTGTCATTATCTTTTCTCTCCGGAAGGGTTTGTTCTCAACTTTATGCCCTTTCTGGCACTACATGTTTTTAATCTTAGGTTGTGTTTAGTGGCATCAAACACTGTCTGCCAGTCTAATAAATGAACTGTAGTCCCATCTGGTTGTAAAGCATGTCTTTGATATCTACACTTCCACGTAATGAAGAGAGCTCCTCAGAACAGCAATGCCTCCAGGAAAAGGGCAACCCTATTCACTAGCATCACAGTTAAGCAGCGTTTATGCAGAAGCTTTTGCTCCCAATCTCCCTTTCCCTTACGTCATATATGTGAGCGTGAGCGTACGTGAGAGAGAGAGACAAAGAAAAGAGAATGAATAAATGAATGAATGAATGAATGAATGATGTGAGGAAAAAGTAACTTGTACAAATTGGAAAAGTGATCACAGTTTAAGATTTCTTTAGCCAAATAAAGGCTTAATGTTGAATGTGATTTGATACAGCAATACAAAGGTTCAGGATACAGAATTCAAAGACAATTTTTTTTGGGGGGGGGGAAGGAGGGAGACTGTAAGACCTTTTGTTATTCTTCCTCATTAGGTCAGATTTTTTACACACACACACACACACACACACACACACACACACTCACTCACTCACTCCTTTTTGGGGGGCATGCTTACCACTCCATTATTAAATGCACAACACTGCCATCTGCAAGAATTCCCCTGAAATATTGCTAACAAATCTATCTGAAGTGCTTATCAGGCTTTCATCATGATAATATCTGAGCACATCATAATCCTTTTACCCCGTTAGTAATATTTTAGCTCTTAAAAATGAGATCGAATAGGTGGAGAAACTGGATGAATTTGAAGGTTCAAAAAGGAAAAATGTGTGTGAGGAGGGGCAGGTGTTAGAATGTGTTCAACCAGGTAGGAGGAAGGGTTATATGTGTGTGAGAGATTAGAGCAAGAGCAGTCCAGAATGATAGCAGAAAGGTTTGGTAGCTGAACCGGTATGGAGAAGTGCGATAAAGGAGACCCCCTATTGCTGGGAGTCAGACAAGAATTGCTAGAGAAGAAGAAAGAAGGAGCAGAGGCTCAGTGATTTCCGAGCAAGAGATTCCAGGGAGATTCTGGAGCTGAGAGTGGTTAGGATGCCTGTCTTGAGTGGAAAAGTTGGGCTTGTTTCATCTTTTGCAACAAGGGCTTGCGGGAATTGACTGAGTGATTCTGATGGATTATGTAATGTGTATTATGTATTCTACTGTAGAACTCAGTACACATTTACCTACTATTCTTTTCCACAGGACCTTGGCCTCATTCAGTGCAAGGATGGATGATGCTCACTTCATGGCATTTTACTTCTCGTTATTCAATGTGCAGCCACAGGCCCTATTTACTTCTCACTACTCAAACCCTGCTTTGAAGACAGAACTATTAATTACCTCATGCACTTCTTTATGGCACTCAGTTCTATAGCATCCAAATGCTTCCCAAACATTAATGAATGTTCACAAGACCATAGTGAGGTGAGAGGTTATTATCCCCATATTACAGGGGGAGAACTGAGGCACAGAGATTAATCAAAAGTAGCCACTAATTTTGGGTGCCCAAAATGGGAGCTACTTTTTCAGAGAACTCCTTATATAGCATTTTTTACATTCAATGCGCACCTTCTATTGACTTTTATGAGTACAGGCAGTCCCCGGGTTACGTGGATCTGACTTACGTTGGATCCCTACTTAAGAACGGGGTGCTGCGACCCCCCCCCAGCAGACCGCTGAGACGTCGCAGCGGTCCCGCCGCCCCCATCCTCCGTGGCGAGAAAAGGCTTGGGTGC